GTACATGATCGACGTGTTGGGGCTCTTGGGGATGAAGCGCTGGATGAAGAAGAAGTGTGGTCTAGACGTGCATGCGTTAGTGACATGGTTTTATTTCGATTCGATTCTGCGATGGCTGTACTTACGATACGTTCATCGAGGCGTTGGGGAAGTAGAATGTGGCGGCTACATTGAAACCTCGGGCAATCTGCTCTGGCGTTGGCCTGCCTAGGTGTTGAACATATGCGCCATCTGTGACAACACCGTAGTTGCTGAGATCGGCGACGGTGGGAATGTCGGGGTGAGTAGTCGGGCAGTGGTAGCATTCGTTATAATTGTCTCCCAAGAGCTTCCAGTTGTACTCTCCCTCCATCTGCCAAGTGTGGTCGAACTGATAGTCGTCGAAGTTGTAAGCCTTGAATCTGTCCTGCTTATCGATGTTCTTATAGTCATCCTCCCAGACAGTGGTGGGCTTGTCTGTGGCCTCCAGGTTCACCCAAATGAATCCATTGGTATCGATGTGGACATGGATAGGGAATAGGCCGTTCTGGCTCTTGTCGAACCCCTCAATGTCTTGGTACGACGGCGCCTTGGTGAGCTTGCCGTTTAGCGAGTAAGACCAGTTGTGATACTTGCACGCAAGAATGCTGTTGTTTCCTTCGTCTTTCGTCACGACTGGGAAGGCCCGATGTCTGCACACATTGTGGAACGCATTGATAGTTCCTGTGCGGTCCTTGGCGATAACGAAGTCGAAACCGGCAACTTGGTAACGAAGCCAGTCTCCTTCATTTGGGAGTCTTATTTTGTGTGTTGTGAGAAGCCACTTCTTTGAGAAAATTGCTCGCCTCTCGAGCTCATACATATCCTGGGAGAGGTACCATGACCCCGGAAGAGCTCTGACAGCCTTGTTGGCTACATTCTTCGTCTTGGCGAACTTCTTCGAAACCCATTTTAAGCCTGGGAAGCTTGACGCAAAGGAAAGTGCTATGGCGACTAGGGATGCGGATAGGGTAAGAAGAAGGATTTGGGGTGAATAATAAGTCGATAGTTCGGCCATGGTGACTAGCACGCAACCACTTAGTGGTATAATATTATAAGATACGAAGATGATGGCGAGATAGAAGATACATCCTGATACGGGGGTTGCAACCTATGTATATAGATATCTCATAGATATCACCCCTCTCGGTGACCGTCCGGGGCGGCTTGGGCTGGCATACGCCCTGGCCGGCGCTATCTCTCGCCCACCAATTCCCCTTGCTAACTAACCGTGATCGTGAAACTGCCAGAGATACGACAGTAGCATCCAATACCATTGCAATATCGGTCACATGACCGGGTCCAAACTATCTACGACCCTCACAGTAGCCCTCCGGAGGCTTTCCGAGATACGCTCACGTGACCGGAGTTGAAGAGCCCACCCACTTATACGCTCCTAACATTGAGTGTGTAGCTGCTTACACTGCATTGCAAACTCGGAACACATTAGGTTCTGGTACTCATAGCGAAACGTACGAGTATGTTGTTTGGTTCACGCGATTCGAATCAAAAGCTTCACTCGCCTACTTGATCCTGCGGAACGAAACCACAAACTCTATGTCACGGAACTACTACCAATGGATCGTTATCTAGTCATACATTCGGTGACATAAAGCTACTTGTATACAACCTATGGTTGTGATCATAACATAGACAATCCCTATCATTTCATAGTTTACCGAAATATAAAAAACTAGTATCGTAACTATCAAACTTTCTATTTTTCTCGGGTGCCTATGATGTTATCTAGTACGATTATTAAGTTATTATCCATTAACAGGAGGACATTCCGGTGCACTGTGAAGATACCGGAGACTAATATTGATTTGAAGTCATGAGCACTATTTCGACTCTATATTGTCATAACTACCTCAGCACTTCTTAGTACTCTCATTATTGAGCTGGCCAGTATATAAATATGCTGCACTTCATGTATATCAACATAAATGTAATATTAAAGATCTTATAATACGCTTGGATATATGACGAATTGGTTCTTCTTTGCACATTGGATTAGGAATATTGAAAGCCTCGACCAAACGCAATTGAGAGGAGTATGGGAATGCTGCAATCCTTGCTTGCGTGGGGACCGGCAAATAATTTTACCTCCCGTAGCTAATAGGAAGGTAGTTCGGTTGTGTGCGCTGCCTAGTTCTACTTCTTGTGTTCTGTTTTTCTTTTTCTCGGAAATAGATGCATCAAACAAAACAAACTAAAATGAAGGAGTACTGGCCTGTCGGTGCCGGAATTTCTGCCCGTGGCCCTCTGCGGGGTCTAAAATTAAGTATTTAGGTTTTGGATGTTATGTCAAAGGAAGTATTCAGCGGTCATGTGTCACGATGTTTCTGCCCAACGTGACCCACGTGGTAGTACCTCGAAGGATTCCGGGGGGTCTAGAACCTGCGCTGTATTGACACATACCGCCCGAGCTCACGAGCATGACCGGCATACTAAATGAATTACCAAATTGTTATACGTTTCGGCTCCCTACGAAACGAGACGATATCGCTTCTACGGCTGGTGATTCTTCAAGAGCATAATTAATACTGCTTTCGGGATATTGACAAGTAATTAAGCTAAATCCATATTTGGCAGCCATAAGAGGGGTGTGTCTAGGATGCCATTTCCCCTATTTTTGTATCGATGCACTAGGACATTTTGGGCATGAGAGGTTTGGGAAAAGACTGACATCTTTATTGAGCTTTCTATTTCTACACCTGCTCTCTCGCCGAGACACACCTCATATCGTAATCATTGACACGTTAAACAATACCAATAGGCTATGGACTAAACTGTACAAACACACTAAAATATACCGTCGCCAAAATTAGTTTGATTATAGCTTCGAAGTTCGCACCGGGTCTACTAGATCCTTCATTTCAAACCTGGGGAAGTCTGGCGAAAGCGCAGGGTCTGGGCGTTGTCTATCCCAAGCCCACTTCTCCGTCAACTCGGGAGACAGCTGTCCCTCAAGCATCTGAATGACATACTTCCCGATCACGGGGAAGAACTTATAACCGTGGAACGATCCGCCGGTTGCAATGTACAAGCCTTTCGAAGCCGCATGTGGCGAGACAATGAAGTCTCCGGTTGTGGTGAAGGCGTCCCTGTCGCATTGTTAATCAGCTGCTCGTTCATCGCTGCAGTCATTTAGAACTCACCAGCAGATACGGTGCTTCTCGAGCTTCCAGTCCGCGGTCTTCTTGCCATAGAAGACGTGGTTCGCATGCTTGATGTCATCCTTTAGCCTTTTCGAGACTTCCCACTGGGCGTAGTCTGGCTTTGGGGGCGGAGATGAGACATAGTGGCCAGGCAACACTTCTCTGGTATTCTTGAATATTGTTGGACCCCACCACTTCATCTCGCGGTCTACAGGAGTCGGCGGAAGAGAGCCGATGAAGGGGCCTGTTCTTATGATCAGATTTCGGGCACGGTGAAAGCCTCTGGGAAACCACTCTTACCTTGCTTGGGTGTATACCCTTGGAATGCGACGGGCATAGAGCCGTATATCGCATCCTCTTCAGCGTTCAACTTATGCATTCCTGTTGTGATGCCACCCGCAACGATCCTGAATCCAGCTGCAATGTTCGGGAGACCACTGTTCACCGCGCTGTATTCGAGCAACGTTGGCGTATATGCACCAGCGCAGAGAATAGTACGTGTTGCTTTCAAAACCTTCCCTTTCGTTGTCTTGATACCAGAGCACTTCCCATCCTTACCCAAGAGCAGTGTCCCAACCTCAGCCACCTCGTACTTGACGCCCAACTCAAGAGCTTTGCGAGTAATGGCGCGTAAGGAGTCTCCAGCGGCACCCCATCCGCCGGTCGGGTTGATCAGCACCTCCTTGACGCCGGTGTAATCGGCGTTGTCGAATAGCCCACCATATAACTTCTTCGCCTCCTCAATAGACACTACCTTAATATCAGCCTTTCGGCCGAGACGCTTGTAGTTATCGATGACAGCTCGCCCATAATCATCGCGACACGTCCATATTAGGCCGGTCTCATGAAAATATGGCTGCCATAAAGGATCTGATTTGAAGATGTCCTGCGCCTCGAGAGCAAGTCGACAGTAGATAATGTCGTCGTAGTCAGCCCGCACCACCTTGTTCCAGTCCCACGATGCAGCCACGCGCGACTCAGCGTCGTAGGCATCGCGGTCGACAAGCGTCACCGATGCATTGGGGTATTTCTTGATGAGATAATATGCTGTGGATACGCCGAAAATGCCTGCTCCGACGATGATATACGAATCCGTGGTTGATGACATTTTGAATATGAAAAGAAATGATGACCGTGCTAGCAACCTCAATAACCTCTCTCACCTCCCGATGTAGATAAAATCCAATTAAATTAATCAGTCAATTAATTACATGTTGAAGTTTTATGTTTCTCTATCTACTTGTTATTCCTTTGTAGTCCCCATTCGACCGCTGCGTCGTTACACCGATTTCCGGTATCGCCGCCTAGGCAGACCCAGTACTTACCAAGACTAGGTAGTCTAGACTGTACAGTTGGCACGGCATTCCTCTCCGGATAACCGCCCACGTGACTTGCGCCCTTCAGATCTTGTCAATACACTTCGTGCACCTACAGAGTATGTCGCGTCGTTGATATGGGCAGAGATAAACTCTCTGTACTCAGACTGTTCTGAACTGTGGTAGCTGACCTGATTTACTGCTATGTGGTGCATTTAGCCTTGATAGAATTCTACAGTGCGTGTTGGAGCCAGGATGCCTTCAAGAGTTCATGTTCTTAGTGATGTTTTAACAATCGGGAACTTTTATCGGAATCCATGGAGATAGATAGATAGGTAATAGGCCATTAAGAAGAAGGCTTTGGTTAACTGATCAGTGATCAAAGATAAGCCCTCACTCAGCCAACAAATGGACCTGCATCGGAGTCGGAGGCATGGCCCCACTCACACTAACTGACCAGTTGCGTTATAATGGCCAAGATTCTAGCCAAGCGTTAACAAATGGTGCCTCTATGGCGTAGTGGTAGCGCGTGTCACTTGTACAATAAAATAATCACTACAAGATCATGACAAGGTCTCTCGTTCGATCCGGGATGGAGGCATCAAATTTACTTTTTCCATATTTTTTACTCCTATACTTACTTACTTATTTGCTAGCTTATTTTTCTTGTCTTTACCTTAGTTTTAAAACAATAAATAAAAGTAATAACTTACTACATATAATATAGTAGTGTTATTTATAGTTATAAATGTTTAACATAAATTAAAATATTTATGTGTGCATTTGCTTTCCTAGTTTTATAATATATTCATTATCATAAATCAGTTTCATGGTAGATGCTTACTTAGCAAGTGAACATGGGTTCTATGTTAAAGATCCCCTACGGTGAGCTTGTTAAGAAATCCGGAAGTTAAACATCTATAAATAGAACAAACAGCTAGGATGACCATGTAAGCAAGTCATCCTTTAGTTTTTACAATGAATAGATAGATGCCTTTAGGATCGGTCCATTTGGTTGCGAGTAAAATATTTAAATTTCTTACATTTGCTTGACCTTTTGGCTCGGTTCATATAAAGGTTATAATAATGCTAGCCTCAAGCGAGGTGTCAGGGGATAAAGTCATCAGAGGGATGAAGGACGGTCGCTGTTACAACCCCAGGAGTGATTGCATCATTGAGTTCTATTATATGAGGAGATAGGTCTTCCCTTAATATTTAGGAAGACCTGGGAATCAACAATATTGAGTTATATCCCTTATATTTACACCTAGCTGCTATACTTCGACCTACGTACTACCTATCTTCAGTCTGGAGTAAATTCTTTGGCACGAGGTGAGTATAAGCAAGCTTAAGAGTGTCCAAGATTAGCAACTGCGACTTTCCTAAGCACCTCCTCCACATACCTAGTTACATCAGAGGTAAACAGTGTTCAACCACAGGCAACTACTCCAATTTCAGTACAATCCTTACTTAGTACAAGTGCCTTGCACTTTTCATATAGGAAATAAGCTCACCAGCTACATATCTAGCAACACAACACAACGCAGGATGTAAGAGATGCACCATTGTGACTGCCCATGTTGTTGTTTGCTGGCTCTTGCCAATCTCAGTATCAATAATCGGCATCACCCCATCACACAAATCATCCCCAACTAGATGAAGTTACCTAGTACTTTAACCACACTCCACAAGCGAGTTTTGGCCACTACTTGTATCTCTTCATGCCGACCTTCAGGATAACCCTCTTTGGAATTACACATCCCAGAGGCAGCATTATACTTAGATGGTTAGCAACCCGACGCTCAGACACCTTTTTCTTGATGAAGCCTAACTTGGAATCTGGATATTTACAGGAATGCCTGAGGGCGACAATCAACGTAAGAACAGGTATCTAGAACACCCGATCTCCCCCATGATTCTTCTATTATACTTATCGAGGAGGTAGGTATCACGATTCATCTACCAATAGCCCAGCTTCCTCTACTATTGTACTACATAACGAAGAGCATTCTCGATTCGACTACTTCACTTCACTCCCTCCCATACCAGCGGGATGCTCTATATTAAGTAACCTATATCAACAACCATCAATCTAAATATATAGCATTCCCATACGAAGATGAGGTTTCTGGTAACAAAACCGAATCCCCAGGACCTCGAACCCGTTGCCGCATCCACCATCTCGCAAGCTACAGAGCGCATGCCCCCCTCTGCTATTCCTCCCGCTACTGTTCCTCTCTCTCCTGTTAACCCCGACGGTGTAAGAAAACTCGCCGTCGCATTCGACCAGACTCCCAGCGACGCGGTCGCCGCCGGCATCGAGGCGGATATCCGTAAGCGATACCCGGGCATCGCCTACTCCTCATTCCTGTCGACCCTAGATGCCTATAATACACCCTATCCTGCATAAAGCGGCTACTAACCATTGATATTATAGTAGGTTTCGAAGAAGTCACACTCTCCGAAATCCACAGCGAGGTTTTCAAGCTAAACGGCAAAGGCCATCGGCTCGAGGCCCTGAGGCATGCCCTTAATCATGCATGCAAATGGGCTTTCATCACCGGATATAAGAGTAGATTCAACGCTCGTGTCGGCCTTCTACCCGCCGGCTCCGGCCATCCGCAGTATCTCGCAATCTTCCTTTCTTTTAATCTCATCCCTGCCCCTACCTACGGCACGGCCAACCCTAAGAATATCAACGTAGCGGGAACGGGACCATACACAGTAAACCCGAGTGGATTAGCTCCGCCAGCGACAATACTCGCAGCACAACCCACAAATAAGACGGAAGTCAAGGGCATGTCACAAGACACAAAGTACTGGATAGCAGAGCGAATCCTCCGGCTCCTACTTCGAATATACGGGGATGTAACGTTCCCCAGAAGGATCTGGTTTATGGAAGACGAAGAGGCCGGCAAGCCCGCTTCCTTATTGATGCCGTATTCGATGGGAGCGCCTGGCTCGGGAACCCTTCAGAGAAGTACCGACAAGGCGTACAACCGCATCGTCATGCAAATTAATAATTCTACGGTCTCCGACGATCTATCTAAGGAGGAAGGGATAAAGGAGGAAGAAGACGCTGGGATCCCCATGGTTTATGAAGACATGGATATGGGGGGCGAAGACTGACGGGTAGATATTGCAGAGGAAGGCGAGTACTAGAGAAATGACGACGGAGCGGAAGGGTCTGTGACGGAATTATGACGGAATACTTGTACTGGGTTCCTAGAGTAACTGTGCAAGTGAGGCTAAGAATGACAGTCTATGATACTTATGTTAGCTTGGGCGTTTGCATACCACGTTGAAAGAAACGGGTTTCCGTGGCCCTCCAGCTTTTATATAGCTACCACATACATGTATGTACTGGCCTTACATTTGAGCTCGTTTACGTCGGATATGTTCAATCCTTACTAAAGCAGACAAACTAAGAGTAGCTCAGCAGAACTTGATAGGTTTCTTATACAGAAAACTCAGAGTTGGTATTGCTGATACCTCGTGCTTTCTTCCCTCCTATATTTTCAAACTGTTCAAAAATACCTAGGCTTCGTACATCGTATCCAGCGAATACTAAACTCTTCGTCAGTATAAACAACGTGCCATAAAGGCTACACTAGGAGAGGTGATCGTAAAACGAAAAGATTGAACGAAAGGCGTATTCCTGTATAATGTATAGGTAAGTTAGGATAGAATTCAGCAAGGCCTTGGGGGACTTTGCGTAACAAGAGTCTATCACCTACCATATACTGAAGGGTTCTGACACAGCACCTATTAGGAGGGAGATCTCCAACTGAGAGCATTTTGTTAGATAAAGCCACCTCACGACTCATCGACACAGCAGTTGCCTTAGTCTATAAGTTAGTACCTAGTTACCTATCTCACAACATGTGCTGAATATAGATGCGTTAACAATTCATTCTCTGCGAATCAAAAGCAAACATGCTGTCACCCCCCGCCGCAGACAACGAGGAGGCACCGTTATGTGTCGAATGACCGGTCGCTCTTCCAACATAATCGCGCATTTGGCTCAATGGATCAAGTTAGCTCTACTACATTTATGCCCGCGCTATCGTCGCCATGTTTTCGCAAGTACCATACCGCGGTTGCTTCCTCCAGAAAGAATGTTAATGGAAACATGACGTTCTAAACTTGGTTCGAGCCGCCTTTTCGGGGGCAAGGGTGGTGTTCTCGTCCTTGTTTTCCACTTCTTTCTTTCTCCCTAGGAAACGACAAGTACCACCTATCTTGTTCTATTGACAACATCAGGGCTGACGAAGGCACGAATGTTATCAGCTAGAACAGAAAACACCACCGTTCCAATCTCTTAAATATCAGTCATCTCCTGATGTATTGTATCTTTCGCATACGATGGGTACAGCAGCAGGTCGGGCCAAGACAAGTAGTTATGACTGGAAAGGCGCGAGCCGGACGCGTGACAGCCCAGGTCCATCTCCGTGGACTCTTAATGGGCACTATATATAATATTTTCACAATCGACCAAACATATGCCTTTTTTTATCTGGTGCTTGTATTAGACATGTTAGCAAAGGATCAGTTGTTAATCAGTCTCTTGTAGGCACAACATTTAGGAGGTGTCTTAACCAACTCAACCCGAGGGGCTAGAGCGGAATCCTTCACGAGCAGATAGGTAAGGGTATGGACAAATACAATTTTCGTATCCAGCTGTGTCCCGGGCATTCATTTTCGCTTAGGAGAGAGCGCAATGAGAGAGACAAGGCACAGTTGACTAGCCATAGACTTTACACATGATGCCTACGATTTGATGCACGATGTTGATGACGGAGAAATTGTTTCCAGGCCGCCGCATAAGCTAAGCTTTCGGATCGCGGGGCACATGTAGGTAGTTATAGTGGGTCTAGTGCCGTGACAAGATATGCCCCGCGGCGTGCCTGTCTTAAGATTCCTCACTTGATGGAGATGTTTTACATGTAGCCTTTGCTTGTATGTTGAATCTACCTTATATTAAGAGTTGAATGAAGGAACTAGCTAGAGGATGCGTGATACTAGAGATTAGAGTCTTCGTCTTAGATCCCCGAGACTCCAATTCCAAAGGCTTTCTTCCTTATTAAACCTAAACTGGAAACACTTGGCTATGAAAGTGTCTTACAATGTCACTAAATCCCGGAGTTTGGCCAACGTAACTATCTACTATAGCTTTCTTTGCCTTATATATACCATTTAATTGGCTTGTTTACTCCCAATAGCTAACGGAAACGAGATGTACGTCAGAAAATGTTGAGTCTATGCAATCATTCTTCTATTGAAGGTAAGGGCATACATACATAGCAGTTAGCGTATCCAATTCCAACGCGACGGTTCGAAGATGCAGTCAGATGAGCCGTGCTTGCGTAGTAGTTCAGTTCGTGACCTGAAGAGTTTCTATTTGTTCTAGATGCATCGCGCATTCTTCAGCGTTTCAATGGATACCCCTGGGCTAGCTAGCTGAGTAGCATCTCCCCTCCATTTTTCCATCAATCACAACGCGTGCTTTAAGACCGGTCGGAGTGATGATGGGACGGACCCACTAACCGATCCCCCCACGGAAACGACGATACTGAGGGGATTGGGGATTTATAGAGGGGA